AATGAGAAACAGTGGACTGAATGACTTAAAATGTACAATAAGACGTTAATAGAGGTAACTGCCAAAATATAGGAAACACCAACATGAAGTGTCTTATTAGCAGCCATATCACCCTGCAACTCACAACTGGCAACCCACTGAAGCTAAGCAGGTGTGAGCCTGGCCACTACCTGGATGGGAGACTTCCTGGGTAAAACTAAGGTTGCTGCTGGAAGAGATGTTAGTTGGGCCAGCAGGGGGCGCTCACCCTGCAGTCCACGTGGGTCCTAATGCCCTAGTATAGGGATGGGGACACTATACTGTAAAACAGGTGCCGTCCTTTGGATGAGACTGACTCTCTGTGGTCATTAAAAATCCCAGGGTGTTTCTTGAAAACAGTTGGGGTGTAACCCTGGCGTCCTGACCAAATTTCCCATTGGCCCTTACCAATCACAGCCTGCTACTAATCCCCATTGGGGTGGTGGAGGGGATCCCCATTATCTGTAAAGTGCTTTGAGTGGTGTCCAGAAAAGCGCTATATAAGAGTAAGCAATTATTATTATTAGGGCGTTGGGCCAGCACAAGCTGCCATACCAGCTTCAGTGCACCTTGGCATAGCTATACTCACAAGAGTAACATAGTATTTGTGAAGTTCTCAACAGACTCTACTTGATGAAACTGCTGCTCTTGCCATAGATTGATGTTTGCTGTCAACTGCTTAGCATTCAGCTGCATGCAGAGCTGCTTGTCTGAGTCGAGACGCAAGGCAAAACCCTGCACGAACGTCACAGTCGAGGAGTGGTTTCGCCCACAGTTGCCCCTAGTTGATGAGGTCTTTCTTTCGGACCTCCAGGCCAATGTCACCTTAGCTACTGTTCCTCATGAAACATCGGCAAGTTGAGTAGTCTTCATCACTGAAGCTCCTAGCAAAGCTGCCTCAACAATCACCCCTCTCTCAAAGTCACTGAGATCTCTTCTTCTAGCCTTGATAGCCTGTCCGGCATTTTTATTTACCCTCAGTATTTTAATTGTTTAATTAAGTCAAGAAGGACTTAATGTGTGACTTCCTGTGTGGAAGCATGAGCTTTCAACATATTTTTGTATCCCTCATTTACTCAAGTGTTTCCTTTACTTTGACAGTTACCTGGAGGTTTGTTAGTCTAGGACCCATTCTTGTACTTGTGACACAAAGATGAGATATATATGTGTGCTGCGTATGTCTCAGTCACGAGGAAGAATTCTCCATCTTGTTTCCAGTTACCCACAGACTGGCTTCTCCCAAAATAGTGAAACTGTGTCCTTTCACCAGTCTTCCTGCTCCTCATAGACATATCAAACTGCAGTTTGAAACCCCATACCTTAAAGCTTTGTGCGAATAAAAGGAGAAACCGATGAAACATTCAGCCTTACTAAAAAACTGAATTGCTGTGCCATCAATAAAGACTGTGTTAAAACCTATCTCACCTGTGTCACCCAACAAAACCACCAATCTCTGAGCTCCACTGCCTGATGGCTTGAAATATTCCTTCAGGAGAAGCTACAGTTTGTGAGCGTTCTTGGAGCTGGGTTACTGTGCGGAACGGCTTTGGCGATTATCATCCCAGAAGGAGTGGAGCTGCTTGGAGATTCCTGGAGAGGTGAGCGGAACAGAGGGAGATTAACTCACTCATGGGCTGACATCCAGAATTCACTTCAAGCTTGATCCTCTAGGGGACATTCTGCGGCAGAGCCGACACAATACAACCAAGACAGAAATCACGAACAAGTTCAGGACAGCTTATCTTGGGAAATAAGACCTATTATACATGAAGAGTTAAATTGCAAAGGGCAATAAATGATTTCTAAAGTTTTTTCCATTACACCTTGCACAAAGGGGCATAGTGCAGATTCCCATACACCACACAATTATTTCAAGATATTTGTTTCACAGCTGTTAACTTTTGTGTTTTTCTATTAATCATTATTTTAGTTTTTAAAAGACCTAGAAAAGTATAAATAGCCATTCTGCAATTGGGCCAAGTGCTTCTCCTGATAGCTGATACCCTTCTTCATACTCTAGACTCCCAGGCAGGAATGTATCACTGTGCATTGAAACGTCATCTTCTTCTTTGCTGCACTTTGGAAACAGCCATCATTACGGCTTGGGTTTTCTACACAGTGCATGTTTGCATCTGTGGGTTGTGATGTATTCATGTACAAAGTGCATGCTGACACAGTGAGCTGGTTTCAAAGTCTAAGGCAGAGGGCAGTTGTTATATAGCACTTCAAAAATTATACCGTTTTCAGGATGTATTATCCCAGCACGTTTGGCTGAATGGCCTTGTGTTCTAATGAACAACTAACACTGCTTCAAGATTCCAGGCCTCCCTGCGTCAATGTGGTGGGAAACAGTAATGCCAGCCTTGCCAGCCTCCCCCCCGTGTCCAGGGCAGACCGCAGTACCCCCCTACACTTCGTCATTGGAGTTTCACTGGTGGTGGGGTTCACCCTCATGTTCATCGTGGACCAGATTGGCAGTTACTGCTCCTTGCATGGCAAGTAAACCCCTTATTTTTAATTTATTCGTAGTTAATTCAGCCTCACAAGACACAGTTCTTAGAGTCCGTTGTAAACACAATAACAGTCTGGAGGATACTGAAAAAAAAGCAGTGAAGGGTTTGTTAAACAATATTTTAGAAATGTACAGGAAAGTCCAAGGGGATTCATTTTTTGGTTAACATTTTTTCTCATCTTCAAATTTCAATGCCATGTATGTGTAGCACTGAAATCCGAATTGCCAGAGAAGCAAAAGAAGCAGAATTCTGTGTCTAGAAGTGGGGAATAAAGGATAATGGCTCTCTCTGTTTTTCCCTGCATCGCAGATCCACGGACAGGCATGTCAAACAGTGCCAGTATCACAGCCACTCTGGGCCTGGTCATTCATGCTGCAGGTATGAACAGTCACCACTGCAAAAGTGCATTGAAACACAACTGCAGAGGTTGTGTTTTAATAACCATGACTGTGCAGGAGCAAAACTAGGATCAGATCATGAACCTGCAGGTGATAATTACTGGCAGAAACTGCAGGAAGATTCAAGAGTGAGAACATAAGATAGATTTTACTCAAAGATTTATGGGGAAGAAGTCTGTGTGTGACTTTTCATCTAACGATAAAAAAAAGTATATCAGAAAATGAACAATGCTACTGAATATCTCTTTGTTAGTTATAGCTTTAATGGAATAAATGCCATAATCTCTATCCCACATTTCACAGGTGTTTGACCAACAAAATGAATATTTAATGTTTTCCTACCTGTGTTGTCTCCTGCCGTATTTGTATATTCAACTATTTTAAATAGTTTTCTTAAAAAAGAGGCCCAATTGCTGAAAAGCAGAAGAGCTGAATGGTGTGAACCTCCTCTGTTTGTCATTAGTCTTGGTTTGCTGTTTAAAGTGCTGACACACCCGTGGCTTAGCTGAAGGCAAGGTCCCCATTCCGAATCAGACAGTACGTACAGATATGTAAAATTAAAGATGAAAAAAAAACTCTTGTGTTTCACCACAGCAGTATTAAAGAGAGCCCACGGCCAGTGAGACCTGTGCCGAATTGCAGTGTCTTGTGCCTGGGGCTGGTCTATTGTGTGCTCATGGCAGTGCAGGTTGGTCACTCTGATGTCGTCCTCTCGTTGTCTAAAGCTGACGGTGTGGCGCTGGGGGCGGCTGTGGCCTCGGCCCAGATCTCCGTCCAGGTGATTGTCTTCTTCGCGGTGATTCTCCACAAGGTGAGAGGGATTCCAGAGCTGCAGGGGCCATGAATGAGTCCTAAGCCCGGTCCGGGTCCCATGGCTTTGCAGAAGGAACAGAAGGTCCATTGAAGCTTTACTTGAGCTGTAGCACTGAACCAGGTTGTGGGGGCGAAACAAACAGGATTGCATGTTTCAGATTAATTGTAAGAGATTCATGAATCCTGTTTATGCTTCACACCCCACTGGTCTGGTCGCACCACAGGCCCCTGCTGCCTTTGGATTGGTCTCCTTCCTTCTGCACACCAGCCTGGAGAAGAGGCAGATTCAGAAGCACCTGTTCGCCTTCTCTGTAGCGGCGCCGCTGCTGGCCATTGCTACCTACTTTTTTCTGAGCATGGTGAGTGTCCAGCTTGCAGAACGTCCAGCTGGCTCGTGAGTAGAGTGCGAGTGTTGTTGCAAGATTTTAATGACCTCGGTGTGCTAACAGTCCTTCTATTGCAGCATTTCTTGGTTTATCTCGGTTTCAAACATCTTACTGAGCGAAAGAAAACATAATTCTCTGCATGATACCAGCTTTTAAGAGTTCTTTGATGACTAGAGAGCTAAAGTTTAATATAAATTATATTAATTTTAAGTTTGTTTGATTTATAAATATTAAACAAACCTTGTTTAGTGTTTATTTTTGGTTATCATGATATAAAAAGTATACTGCTGTGCTGCAATCCCTCCAGAGAAGAGACAGGCTACCCGGCCATGTTGTGAAAACCAATACCTATACAAAAAAGGCTGGATGAGATTATTGAATCTCAACTAGGATAAATGAACCCAATGGCCTCCAGTCCTAAAGAGCAATCACGTTCATCACCGGGCTCAAAGGAATATCTCCTAACAGGAATAACAGTGTAATATATATATATCCTCTGACAGGATAAAACTGAAATCTTTTATAAGAATGGTAAGAACCAGATCCCATTATAGTTTTCAGTGTTTGTGTTGTCAGAATCCTCAAAGGCATTGACAACCCAAAGCAGTGAAACATGAACCAGAGGATGTGAATGGAAACTGTGGCAAAGTGTTTAAACTGAGAACAGTTCATGAAACAAAGGGTTGTGGTAGTCAGGAGCAAGCTGCCCAGCCATGTTTGAAACAAAGGATGACATCCTTGAATGTCTTAGCTACTAAAAATCAAATAAACTACAAAGGAACAAGTAATAGGTTTATTCCATGCTTTTCAGCATGGAATAAACCTATTACTTTTTCCTTTGCAGACTGCACATGCTGATGCAGCTACCCAACTGAACTACATCAAATAAACTAGGCTGCAAACCTCCTAATGTTATTAAGATTGTGCAATGTATGCAAAAGTGGAAACTTGCTGCCCTTCTCTTGCAAGTGGTGAAATCAGTCTGTATCCCTGTCTTCAACTCTTTCGCAGACAGGAGGCTCATCTGAGCGCAGACTCAAGGCCACGGGGATTGGAATGCTCTTCTCTGCTGGTACTTTCCTGTATGTGGCGACTGTGCATGTTTTACCCGAGATCAGCAGCAGGGGACAGCAGCGATCCTCACATCTGCACCACCATGCCAGTACAGGGGCTTATCAGCAGGGCGGATTAGGTGTCTTGGAGAGCCTCACCTTGGTTATAGGTGCAGGGCTCCCAGTGCTCCTGTCCCTTGGACTTCACGATGATTGAAGAGGGCAGGGAAAGTTGGGCCAAGCTGTCGCGTGCAGTGCTGTAACTGCAATGCAATTTATAATTTTAATGCTAAATGTCCTTGGGTTGTATTGGTAAAAACCCACTAGAAATGTATAGCACATAATGATTTAGTTTTTTTTAAATCAGGATTTCTGAAGGGTCTTTTAAAGAGTGCAGTATCAGAATTGCATTGAGTATGACTTAAAAAATGTTAACTCGCAGAAACAGGATACTATTCCTGGTTACGTCACTGTCTTTCCTTTTAGGCTTATTTTTAGGGAGGTGGGAAGGTTTCCACCAGTCTGTTGCATGAACTGTTTTTTAAAAGTATGTTTCAAAATTTCTGTCTGGAAAGACAAATTTGGCTCTTTTAACACTGTTGCATTAAAAAGGCAAAGGAAGTTTTTTGTGATTTTCAATCAAATTTCTTGCCAGCATATGGGAATAATAGTTGACATTCAGGCTCAGTGTTGACCTGAATATGAACCATGGGGAAAGCTGTGCTAGTGTAAGAGCTGAGAGAATAGTTTTGTGCTAAAAGACAAAAGCAGCCTAAGTGTGTATGCAGGTCAGAAGACAGAAGGGAAGACGGGAGGTACAGTGTCTCATGACTCTATAGTTTTGTCATCTTGATGTAATCTTTGTTACAGTGCACTCAAACTTAATTTCCTACAGGAGGGAATCAGTTATGGCTTTATATTCTGCCAGGTGATTCACTGGGCATCTTAATTGTACATGTTTTGCTGTAAATCTGAAAAAGTGAATGCTGGAAATGTGGTTAACCCCTGAAAGTGTGAACATACATTAAGACTTTAATTTTTTTAACATTAAGTTTTGGTTACTGCATACAGTAGGTGCAAATGGGACTAAAGCTTCCAGTCCAACCAGAAAGGCACGGTTTATAGTTCTGTCCAAGATGCATCTTGGATAAATGTTGTATGATGCATCACTGAATTTTTTATTGTCATAATTTATCATTCCATTTTTTATTCATTTTTTTAATGGAAAATTTTACAATTTAATTCCAGTATACTTCAGTGATGAGGTTATGACAATTATATGTGAATAACTGTGCAAATTGTTTTTTAAAAAACATTTACATATTGTGTTTATTGTATTATATTTGATACCTCATTCTGATTTGGAAAAAAAATCTTAATAAACTGCTGAGGCTTGTCTTGAACTGCATACAGGGTGTGGGATTACCAAATTAGGACTGATAACTTCTGGGTAAATGTGATAAAGAGTACATGCGTTTAAATATGGATGTACAGTATTTTATTGAAGGTTTTGTAGAATATTTAGTTTTTTTTCCCCTTTTCACACCTTTAACTGATGACATTTTTATGGTCTGAATAAACTAAGCTAAATGAAGACAGTAAAAATCTTTAATAAAATGTTGCACAATATCATTGTCATTTAAGTAGTGCAGTCTCCCTTTTATAAAAAAAAAACCCACAATACCATAAAAGTTATTTTTCCGAGTCATTTCCTTTTTACATTTTTAAAATGGAATAAAGTCTGTATCTAAAGTTAAAGTTATTTGTGTTCACAACATCAACATGAACTATAGCATTTCATGTAAAAAGAGGCTGGTGCTGGAATCTCTTATGGGCATTAATGGTGCTAAAATAACACACCTTGGTAATGAAAAACTGCGACCGAAGTCTGAATCACATCGCCAACTAGTATTCATTTTTGCCACAGCCTGTCACAAGGGCCGCATACACAAACACAAGAGGACCTCTCATACTGCAGGACTTTGCCTTTTCCCCAGCTGGAGTTTGTGCTTGGCTGGCTCCCAGGCTGAACCCCAGGAGTGCTGTGGTGGCCCTGACATTCTTGGCACAGGCAGTTGCCTTGAAAGCAGACAGAGCTCCTTTCATGGAATAACTAGGTCAGCTTTGCAGAGAGTCTGCAGCCACACACAACACTATTTTTCACACATCCCCCAGGCCCTTTCTGTTAATGACCTTTATTAGGGAAGCGTGACAGGCAAATGGATCCTGCTTGTTTATCTCATTGCACGTAAAAAAGGGTGATTCATCAGAGGACTCTGAAGATTAACTCTTTACATGTTCCAAAACTTCAATGGTAAGAGATCATTTTAAAAAGCATACCCTATAGACCACACTGTTCTTGGGAAAAATGAAAATCTTCAAAGATGGAATTATTTTCCTATTGGAATAAAAAAAAAGGAAATTTATTTTCCAGTAATGTAGGTTTCATTTATGCTTAATTGAAGTGCAAATATTTAGAATATCTACAAGTTTTATATCCAAACAGTAGTGAAACTGTACCATTGAGGAGCAATGATATTTGATACATGCACAAACAGAACCAAAACAGTTCACAACAGGAGATGCAGTAGAGATGTTATACCCTTGAAATCTAGAGCTGAGCGCCATCTGGTGGACAGTGATTCTTCTGCTCATGTACCTTTGTTACCCATGGGAACGCACAGTACCAGTTCAATGGCTATTTGTGCCTGATTGTATTATAGCATTGGAATAGATCAATTAAACAGAGCAAGGTAAGTGATTAATGTAAGCTTTCTTTCAATTTTTAAAACACCACAAACCTTTCAGTACAAAAACATTACTTTTTTGTCATTTGAAAAATAAAAAGTACCTCACATTAATCTTTGGTTAGAGGCCAACTTAAAATACCTTGCTTTCACACATGACAATACATGTTTCTCTAGTATAAAATTCTGCTAATTTGAACTTGAAACTCTCTTTGCCATGATCATTTTTTTAACAACCTTGTATACAAGAAATACCAGAAGTGAGTGTCACTACAAATACAGTAGATATAGTTTAAATTTTACACTTGAGCTGAGAGAAAGACTTATCTAAAGACTTTTTCAAATATCCAAAAGTATTCAAAAATCCTGTAAAAGCTAAAGTCACCTTATCCAACTACATCAAAGTGAACAATAAACCAGGTCCCCAAGAACACAAGCTGAAATGACAGGCAGATTTCATTTGGGAGGGAAAGCAAGGCATGTCTTCACACCAGGAGTCTGACAAGTGCAGCTTTGTTGAAATTGTTGGATGAACAAGAGAACAAATTGGCAGAATAACACTGGTCTGTAAACTTTCTTCTATTTTAGAGTTTTTTTCTCAAATAGCAAAGATAGTGTTCTTGATTACTTTATTCTTAATATCCTCCCTCTTGGCCACTGTGCAGCCTGCAAATGTCAAGAAGCATGATTAGTTCAAACTTATTAAAACCACAGTATGCTCATGCCTTTCTTTTCATTCTACATTTTATAGTACCTCTGGTCTGATCGCAACAAGATGTCTCCTGGCAAAAGACAAAGCAGGAATAGCAGTGATAACTTCATTTTCAAACATATGAGAAAATTAAGATGGATCCTACTGTAAAGGTTTCTGGACAAGGGTGAAGAAACTACCCACCCCACCTACTTATTTTCTAGCATGCAAATAGGCACCAGCATGTGAGCAGCGTAGCATAGTGATTAAGTCTTTGGCCTCACAACTGACAAGTTGTGGGATTTGAGCCCTCGCTGCAGACTCTGTTGTTGTACCTTGAGCAACATATTGTGCCCCAGATGCTCCAGCTGTATAAATAACTTGAGAACTGTGGGGACTTATTTGGTTGCTCATGTCTAGAAAGCAGGACTAGCTCTGGCTCAATGAGCTATTCTTGTGGCTCGAATAGAATTGCCTACCTAGACTCCAGGATAATAATGCATTAAGTGGCTGAAGGGAAGAGTGACCAAACAAATACACTCCATAAAAATTCAAATACAGGTTATACTTAAGTAGTTTACACAGACTCAAGTTCACATAAAGTAGGGTCAGAATCAGTGTGAACTCCTGAAATGCACAGTGTGCAAAATAAGAGCGCTGTGTCCTGAAGCCACACCTGGCTCCAGGTCAGCTGTCTTCCTCAAACAGTACCTGCAGCCTGGGGCTTTGCTTTTAGGGCGCCAGAAATAAAAATAGTATGAATTTCAAATGTGTCCCATGTTATTGTTCCATAGTGCTGTAAAACATAATATAGTTAGCTGAGGAAGTACCTTCCAAGTCACTGACTTTGCGAGCTTGAACATTTCCATATTTGTGATATGAAAAGGTGAGGATGAAAATGTAACCTATTGCAGCTTAATAGGATTCTAGCTCTTCTCTTTCTGATAAGGACCAGACAAGTTTTAGTTCATTTTAAACAGCGAAAAATAAAATAAATGATTATTTTCACCACAATCATCAAAAATACAAATAAAAAATGTATAAAAATCTTCACCAATTGCCACAATTGTTGCGAAAATCAGATGCTGTGTCATGGCGCTGAGTTGTGACCTCACAACTTGATCCTGGAGAGGCTGGCCCTGAGCTGGGCCTCCAGTGCCATTTGGTCAAAGGAACGACTGTGAATCTGCTCCCTCACCTTCTCCCTCATCTGGAAAGAGGCGCGTGCCACCTTGCGAGACTCCTCCACTGCCGCCTCCTTGTCTCGCAGGAGCTGCTCACTCCTCCTGTCCTTCACTGCGATGTCTGCCTTCAGCTGCTGCTGCAGGGTCTCCTGTTCCTCCTGCACCTTCTCGTACAGCAGGCGGTGGGATTTGTCCTTCTCTGTGTTCGCCTGCCTGGCCAGCTCTGCTCTCCGCTGCACGAGCGTTCCCGCAACCTCCAGGGCTTGTCGCATCCTCCTGTCCATGACCTGAGCCAGGGCCTCTTTGTGTTTCTGACGCTCTCTCAGGTGTTTCTCTGCTCTGCTCTGGGCTCGCAGCAAATGTTCCTCCTCCCGGAGAGATCTCTCCTTCAGTTCCTGGAGGCGGGCCTCCAGCACCCTGTGGTAGTTGTTGCTGGACTTCAGCAGTTTCTGCTCTAGAGCAATCCTCTTCAGAAGCTCCTCAGCCTGGATCTGGCTCTCTACCTCTCTTTTAAGAAGCAAGTGTTTCACTCTCTTCTGCTGGTTCTCCAGCTGAATCTTCCTCTTCTCCCTTCTCTCCTTCAGCATCTTGCTCCGGCCAGCACGTATAATCCTCTCCTGCGCCTCCCTGCCCTGCTTCTCCCGGAGAGCTTGCTCCTCCAGCTCTTTCTCCTTCAGAAGCTGTTCCTGGCAGCGCTTCTTGCCATTTGCCTCCTGTTGGGCCATTTCCATCTTCTCCTGCCGCCTTGCCTCCTGCTCCTCAGCCAGCAGCCTCCACCTATCCTCGTGCAGGATGGCCGACTGCTCCCTCAGGCTGGCCAGCTGCCTCTCCTCCTGCTCCACCCTGCGTCTCCGTGCCTCCAGCTCCAGCTGCCAGCGCTCCAGGCGGCAGCACCGCTCCTGCCTCCGCGCCCGCTCCACCCGCTCCTTCCGCAGGCTCTCCCGGCGCCGTGCCTCGTCCCGCCGCAGCTCCGCCTGCAGCCTCCTTTGCTGTTGCGACTGCTCCTCCTCGTGCTTCACCAGCATCAGGGCAGCGATCTTCCGGTCCTTTTCAGGCACGGTGATGCTCATCTGCCTTCGGATATCCCGTATCAATTTCTCCAGCTTCTTCTCAGTGGCCAGCGAGTGACTCAAGTCCCCCAGGCTGAAGCTTTTAGCAATGTACTCACGCAGGCCTGGGTGCTCCCAGCCTGCTCTGGGGGACTTGTGTTCTCTAGACTCCTGCAAAGAACGCCCCTTGGGGGATTCTGGCTTACTGGTATCCAATTCAGAAGACTTCACTCTCTTACTGGGTGCCCAGCCCTCCTCTGCTTTCTTCGCTCTGAAGTCTGAAGGCTGCATCACCGTGGACTGCTCAGCTGACTGCGGTTGAGCAGGAGTCCTTAGCGCTGTGGGAACAGGGGTCCTCCTACCCAATTCCTCCTCCAGGATCTTCTGTCTCTCCTCTCGGCATTCCCGAAGTCGCCTCCGACGGTCTTTTTCGTGAGCCTCGTACATTTCTGTCGCTTTCCTCAGCGGAGCGTCCGGGTTGTCCACCACGAACTCCGACAGGGCCCGGTGCAGCAGGTCCACTGGCCTGACCCCGAGTCGCGCACACGCCTCTAGCGACCGCGGGCTGGTCAGGACATACCTGCTCCCCTCGGCTGCGGTCGATTCGAAACTGTAAAGATCCAGGTGTAACATGGGAGAAGCGGGTCTGTCTGCTTCCATGTTTGAATTGTTTGAACTGTGGAGGTTCACTTCGATTTATCAATTTAGAAGTATATATCATTACACAGCGTAGGTTCTTTTAACTCACTGGATCAAACATCAGTAATAAGGATACGCACCTGTCTTGCATTTGGTTAGAAACAGTTTATTATTTTGACACGTCGTAAAATAAACCTGTGCAACAAACTCCGTTTTGTTGACACGGTGGATTGGCGTACAGACGCCGTTTTCGTCACCATGGCAAACCATCAACAAGAGTGAAGGATATTTTACAAGAGAGGCTTCTTCGAGACTCCCCCATCACTGGCTAGCGCCCCCTAGCCAGGCATGGTTACTGCACCGTTTATGTGGTCACAACGTCGAAGTAAATGTTCCCCCGTGGATAGCATACCAATCCACACAGACAGACAGTATTGGAACATTGCTACTTTTCCTTCTCTAAATTATTTTGGCATCAATCAAACCAGACTTGCAGTTGTAAAGATCACGGTGTAACATGGGAGAAGCGTGTCTGTCTGCTTCTATGCTTCGTTATATTCAGATACGTGCAACTCGGTGGCCATCTTAAAATTTTGACCGGTCGGGTTTCACTTCAATTTAGAAGAGTAAATCACTACACAGTGCAGATTCTTTTAACTCACTGGATCAGAAAGCAATAATACAGATACACACTTGACATGCATTTAATTAGAAACGGTTTCTTCATTATTTTTAAAAAAACTTTTACCTTTTTATCTGGTAATTGGTTATAGGTGTAATGTCGAGGTCACTGGAATGTAAACGTACAATTGAAGAATATTTTAAGAAATGAACTTATTTTAGGAAGCAGAATTTATCTTCGCTTCGGGGGTGCAAAGAAAAGCAGCACAGAATAAAGTAATTGTATTTATGCAATGCAGTCAAATTAAAGCATTTCTTAAAATAAAATAGCTTACAGAAAATGTTAATTCATCAAGTCTAAATAATTTAGTGTGAACCTATGTAATTACCTGAAATTACATTTTAGTTTGTAGAAATACAACCAAAACTAAACAAAACCATCTAAACATCAATTTATTAACAAGTGATAATAGCAAAGCAGATTTACACACACTGGTGAATGAGATGATTCTGGATAAAATAAGGCATGCAAACCTGCTAGCAGTTGGCAAAATTATGTTTTTTTAGACAAAGCAAACTCATGAGACTGGAGAAAAGGTCTGTGGACGCAGTTGCTGAGACTGTGGAATGTTCTCACGCTTAGTGTGAACGCTGTTTAATTCTCATCACACCAGACCACAATACAGAGAATGTTGGGCGGAAGCTGTGCCTCTTCCCCTGTAGCCTGGAGCATGTGTAGCCACGGATAAGTGTGGGGCACAAATGTGTGCTGGGGATGAGTGTGCACTGGGCACAAATGTGTGCTGGGGATAAGTGTGCACTGGGGCACAAATGTCTGCCGGGGATGAGTGTGCACTGGGCACAAGTGTGTGCCGGGGATAAGTGTGCACTGGGCACAAATGTGTGCTGGAGATGAGCGTGCTCTGGGCACAAATGTGTGCCGGGGATGAGTGTGCACTGGGGCACAAATGTGTGCTGGGGATGAGTGTGCACTGGGCACAAATGTGTGCTGGGGATGAGTGTGCACTAGGCCACTGGACAGCAGAGTGAGGAAGTGAAAATTGTGAAATCAATGAAACTAGGAGATCTGAAATATCAGTACTGCATCAGGGTGGTGTACTTTCTTATTGGACACTGGAAAGTTTTAAAAGTTTACTTACCAATTAATACACCATTCTCCATTTCTTTATAATTTAATTTATATTTTAAGTTAGCAGAATCATTTGGCATTTTAATAATTTTCTATTTTGCTGTGTGGAACATTTCTGATTAACACAACTATTTTGACAAAATCTAAAGGTGTTTAACAGTCTTTTCAGATGCCAAGATAAATATTAAACTGCAGTTTACTGCAGTTAAAATTGTAGTGTTTTCCCACAAGGGTTTGATTATCTCGGTAATCAGGAGTGTTTCTCTTTCTTACTGGCAGCTTACATATAATTGCTTACACTTATATAGTGCTTTTCTGGACACTCCACTCAAAGCGCTTTACAGGTAATAGGGATTCCCCTCCATTAATTACTTTTTACTTTTTACATAGACTCAGATGACACAGCACAAGAATAAGAGAGAGAGCCCTTTTGTTTAATTCACAACAAGCTCACTGTTATGTTTTAGATTGTTTCTTTGAATCAGAAAGTTCATTACTTGCGTCATTATTTTATGTTTACATATTTGTCACTTTCTATTTTTTATTTCTATGTAGAATTATCATAGTAATAATGTTTAGTAACATTGCTACACAATAGTTCTACTAAAATGCTTGACTGCACTTGTGCAAGAGACTCCAGCCAAACTGAGATTAAAGGGCTAATTCTCTAAAAACACTGAGCTAAAAATTTTGATTTGTATTAATCTGCATTTTTGCTTCTCTCAACCATGTTACTTCTTGTAGGGACCAGCCTGTTGTCACCCACGTGGCAATTGCAGATGACAGATATTTCCATTTTTAGTATTTTTACTTCTATGTTAAAAAACACCTTTTTACCTGCTTGGTATAAATATGATTTCAAAACCATTTGCTAGTCACACATTAGCCAGTATTTTCAGTGTTGGTGTGTTGCTGTTCATTAATGTCTCAGCAAGTTTGTGATAATGGATGAGACCTGGACAAACCTGAGATAAGAGCAACGTTTGTTAAACCTATTAAACACAGAAGAAATCAAGCAAATCAAAAGTACTCATACTTTTCTGAAATGGAAAAAATAGCCTATCAAATGGGCACCATTGCCAATGTATATTGATAGAAAGATTGCCACTGGTAGCTCTATCTCTTCAGATGTCAGAAGCTCAGCAAGGCTGGGCCTGCTCAATACTGGTTTGAGACCTCTAAGGAAAAAAAGTTTCTGTTTGAAAGGGGGGTTTACGGCAGTAGGTGGCACTCTTTTTTTCACCAGAATTTCCAAGCCAGCGTCCCAATATAGTGATCATGGACACTGTATAGGAGGCACTGCCGTTGAGATGAGAACCATAGGCTAAGCTTATCGCTTCTTGATTATTAAAGACCTCATGGCACTGTTAAGAGTTAGGGGTGTCGACACTAGTGTCCTGTCTGAATTCCTTTCTGAGTTTATGTGAGGTTGCCAACCTTCCTGATCTCCCTTAATTCATTTCTGGAAGCATCTTCTCACTTCTGATTGCTGTGCATTGGAGCTGCTCATATATAATCATTTCCTTTTGTGGGTGAAATATGTTCCTTTAGAAATATGTTCCTTTAGACACTTTGGAATCCGGTGAGGTAAAACCACTGAATTATTGCAGATAATCTAATAATGGAGCCAAATAGCGGAGAAGTCACTAGCTGAGCTTTAATAGTGGAAAACAGCTGTCTTTCAGGTGCTGTACTTACACAAGCTAAATAGTGAGGTTACTTCTGCTTAGCTCCTAGCCAAGGAAAGTCACACAGATTTCCGGTGTCTTATTACTCATTACAGAGCAGCTGCCTAGCACGTACCCATGAGCTGGTGCAACCAATGTTCTGAAGTTTTATATACAGTAAAAGATTGTCACTCAATTTCTATTTTTTATAGCTTGCAAAGACATTTTAGTTTTTTCCTGCTGTTTTTTTATTATTATTATTAATAATAATAATTATTATTATTACTTTTCTTGCATGCATTGGAAGCAAGGTCAATATAACCTTTTAATCCTGTTAAAAAACATTTAACAGAATAATATAACTTTTATTAGAACAAATCATTTTAATTACATAATATACATAAGGTATTATGTATTGCTAATTTGTATGTGTAGATGGAGTGTTTTCATAGTGTTTTAAGATTATACGTTTAAACTTCAGACATTCAGTAATACATCGTGTTTATTTTCAAGTGAGAAACACTTCCCATGTCCACTAGTCAAGAGTTTACTTTTGAGTATAAAACACTAAAACAAACGGCACTAAACCCTTTCCTCCACTACAACTCTCCAAGTCAGATCAACAATTTTTCAACTTGTTTTACCCAAGATTCATGTATTAGGACTTGGCATGTGGTGGACAGACTAATTTTATTCCAGAAAATATAACATTATCACTCTTCCATTTACCATAATCATGAACTCCTTACAGGTAATTCTCATCCCTGTAGTTCACTTCAGAGTGATGAAGAGGCTTATAATTCTAGCAGACATTTTTCATGAGGATTGTTCGTGCTCATTCCAAGACCTGTGCTCAGGAGATGTGTCTCACAGATTATTAGCAAAACAGCCATTCAAGACGGGTAATACCCACTGACTGGATAGCTGTATAGCTGCTATCTGCAAAAGGGCAAAGAAAACTAAATCTAGCAATTTAAGACCAATAAAACTTTCTTATTATGTGGTATAGGACAGTAATCATCATAACTAAAGGGTAAGCAGCAGTATGGAACAAGCTACCCAACCATGCTGTTGGCTGCATGAGATAAGGGAATCAATTAGCCACTAACTATTGAAGGGACTAGGTGGTCCAAATGGCCTCCTTTGTAACATTTTTTATGTTTGGAAACGAGTTCAACAGGAGAAAGATAAGCTGTGCTTAACTTGTTAGTGTTCTTTGAAGAAGCAACAATGGTAACAAACACAACCCAAGCATAGGTTATTTTCAGATTTTCAGAAAGCCCTAAAGTTTATCAATTGATGTACTGTACCAGAACTGAGGACTGGCTAATGAATCGAAATTTGATAAACAGACACAAGGACCACCGCTATTCCTGATATATATAAATGACCCAGTTTCCTGTATAGTGAGATGAAAACTGCATTCCAGTGAAAGCTGTGGATAATGGCAAAACAGAAAGATTAGCCAACAGTGTAGAAGCGGCAAAGAACATTCAAAAAGCTTTAGATAAACTCAGCAATGTTGTTTTATGTACAGAACTGTAGTGTTACATGCAAGTAGTGAAAACTATAAATATAAACAGCCACTTTTTCAAGTCCAGTGTTTTCCATTTTATCTTTAAATAATGTGGAGAAACATTAAAAAAGTCAAACACTGTAGTTTAACTAACACATAGTTAAAAGTGTAGAATGTAAACCAGCTATTATTTTAAACGTACAATGCACTGTTTAGATCTCATTTGAGTATTGTGTAAAATGTTGGTTACTAGGACACACAAAAAAGATATTAGTATTGTGCCATCAGTCCAGAGAAGAACAAACAGGAAAGTTGCTTTCATCCGCTAGTGTTTTCTTCTGTTATAATTCACTTTAATATTAATGTAGCCCAGTTTAGGTGGGAAGAAACAAATGTGTTCTCTAGCAATCTTTAACTCACATCAATGAGAATCTTCAAAACCTGATCCTAAATCAATATGAACTATACATGAGCAACCAATATGAAATATCGTAGAAGCTAATTACTTTATGAATCACACATATTTGACTGATTTCCCGATGTTAGATCAATATATCTGTCCAAAAGGGCAGTTAAATTACGCATTTAACTACAAATTACAGATTATCTTAAAACTAAATGGGTAAACCTTCAGCAGAAGACACTGTGTTTCATTAAGAAGGAACAACTGAGTGCAGAGTTCAACAGTGCAGAATGTTTAAGGCTTCCACACTACAGTACATATTGTATCATTTTATCAGCCTTCTGTGGAATTTCATACATATCCTTGTGACAGGTTGTCGTCTCACAGTATTTAAATTAAAAAATCCAAGAGCCTTGTTAAAGGATTGAAGGCCGATCAACAAACCTTCCTGATAAACAGACTCCTTGCCTTCAGAGATTAAATGTGATTAAAACATAGATGAAAAATCTTACTACTCTTATTACACTAATCAGTATTTTTTTTGTTTTAGTTGCATCCAAGAATGTTATCAGAAAACTAGTATTCACATATCTCAAGTCTTAAAATGATTGAATACAATAAAAGAAAAACTGAATTAATTGTTTGTGGACTTTGAACCATGAATACTCTGTAGGAGTATTCATTTTATTTAAAAAAAAAATTTGAATTGTTTTTTTGCAATCCTGTCAGATTTATTATACAGCAGTCTTTCAGAAACTAGTAATGAATTATTAAGATGATGCCAGGAAAGCACAAAAATGTATTCCATGGCTACTTTTATTTTGAAACCAACTCTATCCTTTTTTTAAATAAAAAATAGAGTAAGTAAGGTGGTTTTAAGACTGCAAATGAATTCCACCTAAAACAGTTTCAAAAAGGGCTTAATCATGTGCAGATTAACTGGTGAACATTTAAAACATTTCACCTGCACAGGGCAGGATTAACAATACTCTGTAGCAGACAGGACAAAAGAGAAGCAGTGCAGTGGATGTGTTTTGGTCCTTTAAGCTTACAAAACATTAAAAACTCTTAAGCTGCAGTTCTGCTGTGTGAAGACTTTCTTTAGGCCTGTTCAAGTTGTGGAACTTCACAACTGAACTACAGACAATAACACTCAAGACCAGTGGGACACAATAAACAAAATGTGATTTATTTAAAATGCACACACAAACTACTTTTCAGTTCCTGAATACATACAGATGTCTTTTTTGGCTTACTATTCTGAAGATCCCAACTGCATGTAGAGCTGCTGATTGCTCTTATAAAAATAACCATTAGATTAATGTTTTTATAGGTTATTTTGAGTGCAAATCCAGGCTATATTGTATTTCAATATTGTAGTTCAAAAAGAAGAAACTGAATATTTCTAGATGAACAGAAAGTGGACTCAATTTTCATACTCCAGTTCTGGCTGGAGTGGCAGCAGCTGTTGCAGAGTAATAAAATACAGCAGAAATAAAGCATTTCAAATGTTCAAACATATTCTCAAATCTGCACTACGGATCCCGGCATCTTTTCAGTCCGGAAACTGCTGTCTTTCTCTCTCCTCAAAGAATTCAGATGTTCTAGCTGCTACCACTTTAAAACAAGCTCCTTTACAATGATTGCACTCATCGGACTATAAACTACAATAAAAAAACAAAGCACAGCAAATTTCTTAGAATTAAACAGTTAATTGTTCTTTGACAAAACTTACATAAATAAAAAATTCTGTGTGAAGGAACAAATGCATTTTAAAATAGAACAGGACAATACTTTAATACTGTGTTTTATTTTACAGATTGAGATTAAAAAGATCTTAAATCTTGTTCTTAAAACCAATACACATCATTCGATTCCAAACGGTGCCCCAGACAATGGAAGAGCTGAGCTGATTAAACCAGGGGGGTCTCAGACAGAGCTGAGAGTCATCTCCAGGAGCATGATCTCAGTAACAAAATACTGCCCTTTCTTCAAAAGTGTATTTCTAAATAACAGCCTACAGAAAAAAAAAAAACATTGCTATCTTGTAATTGAAACATTTTATCTTGTAAAGAAAACATTTAAATTGTTTTTTCTACAAAGTGAAAGTTTTATTTAAAAAAATGCATTATTGCCACTGTTTAAAAAAAAAACTCAAGTGGGATTCATGTCAGTTCATTTCACTGACACATGTGATCAAAATACAGTCAAACAGGTGTGAGTTAAATTTACTATTTAAATTTTTAAAACTTTAAAAATGTAAATACTATGACTATAGCACAGAGGTAATAATACAATAATATATATGATACAGCTGTAATACTTCATCAGATTCATATTCACATTCTATACATCTACTGTTAAGAAATATAAAAACACTGTGAAGGACTTCCCTGTGGGACTTGTCCAAAGTAAGTGCTGAAAGGGGGTATTTGAGTCATGAGAAATCTTAATGAAAGAAACTACCAGAAAGGTTCTCCCCTATTTAAGTGACAGTAAGTAAACCCTTTCTTTTGTGTTAGTGCAACTTACAATGTCTTTCAAATACTAAATTCAAATGCAATACTTTAAATAGCAGTGGGTTCTACTTTATGTAGCCCACCACAGACTAAAATAAAAAATAAATTTTAATTATAAAATAAAACAGGCCACATTGTAAAATCATGACTGATTTTTTCTGACTAAAGAGTGCATACAGAAATATAAAATCATCTTAAGAGCAAGTAAATCTAAAACCCTTCTGTATTTACAGGGGATATGCTCATATACGCAATATAATCAATCACCTTCTGAGATCTCCATTATCAGTGTGGCTCAGATCAAAATGGTTTAAAGTCAAGAGCATGGTTTCATTCCAGCATCCCCAGACAAGTAAAAACAGGCTTAATCAAAAGCATAATCAAAAAACATTAAGTGGCACTCTAGAAAACAAGTATTCCCTCAAATGGAGGACTTCCTTCATTCTCCAATAAACAATGTAAAAGCTAGGCCAGCACTTTGTAGAAACACAGCTTCTGATTTACCAGTTATATCCAACAGGGGGAAGCCTTATCTGCCCTCCATGGTCACCACATTACCAGCTGCTCTTGAGCTAAAATCTTGGAAGCCCTTGAGATTCCCTGAGGTGAAGCTCAGGTGAAACTATTGAGAAAAAATCAGTTGATCGACCAACAGCCCATTGAGTCTCAAATAAACAGAAAAATGCACAATCCAAAAATAAAAAATTATACATGCACATGAAAAGCAGAACGAAGGGCAGGCAGCTTAAGCAGCATGAATTTCTGTATGTTCTATACTTCTGTTCTGACATGAAGAGTCCTTTGTTTCAAGGAAGTACAGAACCTTCCATGCAGCAGTGGAAGGTTTTTTTGTTTTTTACCATCTTATGTCAATCTCAGTGCTCTTCCTTTTAAAAAACATTAATTCTAGAACTAAGAATTTAAAAAACACTAATTAACCAAGTGACTGCAAAACTGCTGCAGAATCTTAAAGGGAGAATCCTTGGTTGACCTTTTCCCTTGCGGAGAGAAAGAGGTGAAGAATCGGTCCTTTTACACGACTGCTCGGAAGAGGAAGGAGAGGGCGGCTCCCAGCGCCAAGCCCAGAGACAAGAAGAAGGCCATAATGGCTCCAGCCGTCTCGGCCTCATGAGGCGGCACTTTCCTGTGGAGGACCAACATAAAACATCCTGAGTGTTACGTCACCTGTATGTCACTGAGGAGCCACGGAAACCCACTCACAATCTCAGTTCTCAGCCTTCCCACCCTGCAACTCTTGGGAAAGATTTAAGATTAAGACTTAAAGATTGAAGATTTAATAATAATAATAAT